AAGCCTTGAGCCAGGGAGATGAAGGAATCGGTGTCCCTGACCCCCAGATCATTCAGGGACAGGACCCTCGGCCCAGAGCCAGAGCCCGGAGTTCAGCCAGATGTGGGAACGGTCAGTGCTGGCGTGGACTGGGGAGTTCAGGAGAGCAGAGGGTGACCCACGTCCAGGCCCAATCACCCACTTTGGAGACAGGTCCCCATGGGAGGTGGCAAGGGGGCTGGGTGACAGCCAAGGCCCCCCACACCTGAGTTCTGCCTGGGGGCTGTAGCCCAGGCCCAACAGCCCTGGGAGGAGGGTGTGTGGCTGGAAGCCCCCAGTCAGCCTGAACCCTGGGGGGCAGTCCCAGGAGCCACCTGCCATGCCCCGACGGCCTCCTCACCCCAGGTGGCACACTCCCCTCCCTCTGGAATCAGCAGACTACAGGCATATCCTCAGTGTCAGACTACAGGGGCCACACAAGGCCCCCAAGGACTGCAGAGACCCAGGCAGTTGGGTCCTGGCCTGGAAAGGCCTGCATGGGCTCACTGGAGACGCCGACCACGTCTGTCTTCCTTTCAGCCAAACCCACGCAAGGGTCCTCGGCACCCATGCCCGTGCTGGCCTCACCTGGCAGGAAGACCCTCTGCAAGGGGGACGGTCAGCCCCCTCCCGGCCCAGCAACCCGGTTCCAGCAGCCCATTTGGTCAGCTCCCCCGCCATGGGCGCCTCATCCTGTCACACACTGTCCTGGGGGGCTATCTGTGAAAACATCTACTCTGGGGGCACTCAGGGTGTGCCCAGCCCAGCCCTGGCTCAAGGAGGACCTCACCATTCCTGGCGCTACAGGGAATAGAATTCAATGCCCAGGCTCCCGACAGACCTGGATGTGGGGGGCTCTTGGTTCCCCCATTGTCATTTTGAGAAAAGCTGCTGAGTCTGTGTCCCTTGTGAATGTGTCCTTTACAGCCCCGGGACCATGGGACAGGAGCAGCTGGCACCATGGACCGAGTACCTCCCAGGCTCCAAGACACGGGCCAGCTTGGAACATGCGGGGCCAGAACCCAGGAAAATCCTGAGGAGACAGAAGGCAGCAAAGAAAATCATGTACAATGGGGAAAAGTGCTCTCCCTGACCCATGGGGACCCATAGTCGGACCCACGGGACTGCAGCAGGATGGAGGGCCCGTGAGCCTCCCCAGGCAGCACTGACAGCACCAAATGCTGGGGGGCACTCAGGGTCCTGGAAACTCTCATCCGGATCTGCTGGGAACGTGACATGGCACAGCCACTTTGGCAGCCAGTTGGGCAGTGGCCCACAAAGCTCAATGCACTTGAACCTGTGGGATGTCTATTTGATGGAGGGGGAGCACACGCTGATGCCGATCACAAGAACCATCTTCAAGGTTAGGAGGAGTAAGTCCACCTGTGGCCTGGGGAGCACTGGAGTCAGACCCTAATTGACCCCAGGGAGCTTCCTCACACTATCCTCATGATCCTCTGTTCTGGCCCAGAGGGAGGTCTGGCTGGGTGGGCTGAGAGGGCACAGTGACACCGAGCCCATCCCCCACATGACCCAGATGAAAGTCGGGAGTGTGGTGAGCACTGCCCTGCCCAAGCCGTCCCCCAGCCACATCTGGACCCCTGGGGTGGCCACAAAAGGATCCGGCACTGCCCAGTGGGAGACTGAAGTGGTCATGAGGTATGGGCTCTGACCCCACCCAGGGAACTCTCCTGCCCTGATGCCCACCCTGTCCCTAGAGCACCTCCTGAGAACATCGAGGCCTGGCCTGTGGGCACATTTTCGGGACCTCTTTTACCATTCCTGGGTTTTGTATGATGAGAAAGTATTAAAACATCTCCGGGCCTTGAGGCAGACAAAGAAGCACCAGGACATGCCATTCCCAGGTGGGCTCCAGTGCCAGGTCCCCTCCCGAGTACTGCTCTGGGGAGGTCAATAGTGGGGGAATGCAAGGAACCACCAACCCTACTACCGGGCCCTTCCTCTTCAGCCTTTCTTCCTCCTCTTCCTCCCAGACTGTAAGAAAGTACAGCAGGCCCACCGGTCCTCAGGGCAGGCGCTCAGTGCGTGTGGACTGGACGTGCTGTGCAGGCAGGAGGGGGATGTGGGCAAGACCCTCCCACAAGCCCCCTCCCAC